AGCATGTATTTGTATTCAGTATAGGGCTACTGCTTTGTAACTATGCAAAGAGACTGCTTCATTGCTACACAAAGGGACCAATGCACAACAGGAATCAACAAGTGGGTTTTGGTAAACACTGGGAAGTCCCAATGTACATCTGTTAGCAACTTTGCAATTCGCTTTCTGGGTTTCCTAGTGCCCTCCCCCCAAGGGCATAAAGCTTTACATTGTACAAAAGGGCATGTAGATTAGGTGAGGCAATTTTATTTTGTTGCATGCAGTTGATCTGGGACAGAAAAAAGAAAGCTATTTTTGCCAGCACTGAGCCAGTGTCTCTAACAAGGGCATTGTGAAGAAGAGATGGAGGAGCAGACAATTAAACTGTGGGCCAAGAGAGACAAATATTGATATTAATAACACATTTGTATATTGACTAAGAATACAAAGATTTGCATGACTGCATTCAATTCTCACTTGCGTGACTTCCAGTTCAGTTAGTAATGGCATAAAGAATGAGTTCTCATTTAAACCACAGTGTATGAATTTTGGTTTATGGAGAGGGGATTAGGAGGTCAGTCTTTGAAAACAGGAAGTGCACGAAATGATAAAATATTACTATTGAATAAGCTCGCTGTTTTTGACATTCTACAGTCAGCACACATTGCTTTTCACTTTTGTAGATGGCTTGGCCATTGAATTCCATTTTGTATGACATAAAGGGTTGTACTTATTGAGGGCATTCGTAATGCTTTCCTGTCTAACTCCCAACAATAGCATCTGCTAACACCAATTATGTTACGCCCTTCTGTTGAAGTTGAGAAAATAACAGGTTTCAGACATCAAGAGCATGAATCACTTGACTGCAGAGATCAAGATATAAGACAAATTTCTGTTGATATTTCCTACTTTAAACAAGGTAAGCTATTTAATGGCAAAGGGCAGAAGCTGTGCATTTGTAGTGCTATCACCTGGTCACAGATATTTTAAAAGCAAGCTGGTTTTGTTACCAGGCTAGGAAGATTCAAAACGATATACAAATTGGTATTAAATTAAGATAGCACTCTTGTCTCAACATCATTAATGCTGGCACATGGTGCTGCTTGCTTTTTTTTGCATTCAAAATTGCATGTAACCTTTCCTTTTCAAAATGTGATGGTAAATGCTGACATAGAACAAGAGTAGTGTTGGAGCTCTGACACCAGTCCCAAAACTGATGGAATTACCATTATCTTTTCCCCGTCAAGATAGTGTTTGGGGCTCTACAGGAGACTTTAGCAGCACTCTGGTCACCATACAATTCCCAGTTGCTATTCCCATGGGAATAGACATATTTATGTAGATATGGCCTGAGAATTATCTATTAGTATCAAAGACATACAACAAAAAAATCCTGCACATTTACATATACACAAACGTGTTCTCGAATTTTCTCCCTTCTTTAATTGTATAACTTTCAACATTGCAATCTCTCTCTGTGTTGTATATATCAGTGGAAATGTTTTCTATGTCCAATTTTATAGTCCTACTCCTCTCCCTACAATCCATTATCCAACAGTGCATGGTGCATTTGGGAAACTGTTAAATTTGATGTTCTTTCAATTTCTAGTGGTGTTCTCATGCCTGTAGATTTATAGTTGTTAATACCCAATCATGACAGCAGCAGAGACACAGAAGAAAAGGCCTTTGGATTGGATAAATACAAGGGAGGAACATTATTTGGAGTAGGGAGAGAGGGTGGGCACAAAATTGGAATATGTATGTCCCATTCCATTTCCATCATTCATTTCTTCATTCACAAGGCAATCCAAGGCAGGGCATAGTAAAGCATAACTGAAGCAGGAATGCAGTCTGCACATGTACAGAGAAAGACAACGTGTATGTGTGAAGGGCATTCTCTTTTCAATAACTGCATATGGAGTCTACATGATGTTTAAGAAATTTAAGGTTTTATTGCTTAAGTAGAAGGAGGGGTGATGATGGAACTGGACAAAGAAGACAGCTCTGTAGTAAAGGTTTGTAGCTACATATTCATTGCTCCCTCCATATAAAATATTTTCATAAGTAATATAATATTTAAAATGAACACATAAGTAAATACCTGTATAGGTTTAAGCATAAGACATCCTTCTTGTCCAGTTATGGAGACAAATCAGATCGATATCACAAGAATCCTTCAGAACATTGGCATTCTGGTGCCAGCAGAATCCCCAATGGATTTTGCTGGCAGCTCTGGGCAGTAGGATCTATTTTTCTGGACCAGTACCCAGTTCTCAAACCCTTTTTATGTGGATGTGTTTCCAGCATGACTGCATATTTGCAAACGGTGGTCTCCTTTTCATTTCTGCATTTCAGGTGTGTCTGCTGAATCACAAACATCTGGTATGGACCTGCAGTCCATCAATCATTCATTTGGCTTGTCATGGGTACTCTAGTTGGGTTCTGTGGTGAGAAGGATTATGAAGAAAAGAACAAGACTGGAAGAGTTCATTTGAGTTATTGGACAGCACATTTCCATTTTGTAAACTATTCTAAGAAACCACCAACTGTCCCACACCCTATAATGTTCTCTGCCATAAATCAGTATATGTTTGTTTTGAGGGTTTCAGATTAATTGCCCATTGCTTAATACTGAAGGCAAGTCTACTCCCGTTTATGCCTATGAAATAGACATGTCCTCAAACTGGTTCAACTGCCAGGATTTCTCCCAGATAAATCCAAAGGAGTACACATTCAGTGATGCAAAAAATTAATCAAGGAAAGCAGATATCATTTACAAGATATAATGAGAACTATGGCCTGAAGTTGTTGCTGGTTCAAATCCCCTTTCATCAGTGACCTAAGCAGATGGCCTTGGGCAAGCCATTTTTGTACCATTGAGTAGAAAAATAACCTCAAACTATTTTATTGGTTGGGTGTCCTCATTACTGATGTGTGGCTTCTAAAAAGGTTCATTGAAGCTGTTTTTTTCATCCATAAAGGTAATTTTTATTTGGAACTCTCATTAAAATCTTGCTGAAGTAACAATGTTTTCCTCGGAACAGTTATCTAACAAGGGAGCAGAACATCTTACCATGCAGAGAGATTGTGGATCAGAGAGGAAGCTGAGTTCAAAGTGGGGATACTTACATCTGGGCAGCATGGTGTAGCTGATCAGATCAATGGTGGTGACATTCTTCTCCTGGAGGTCTGCACAGCCTGGCAGAGCCATAGCTGGAGCTAGGTACATCTAGCCTATGAGCAGGGCCGGCCCAAGGAAATTTTTAAGTGTAAGTGGGGGCGCCTCAAGAGCACCCCTTGGGGATTTTGCGCTTTATGCAAATGTGTACTTTGCCTATTGCTTCAGTCGCCCCTCAATTTAATGCACTTCATCCTCGCTGCATCGGATTGGGCTCTTCTGGGAGTTGTAAATACTACAAATAACTCTTTCCCACTAGATTTGAAATTGTAGAACTGCCATCCAATTTGGAGCAGGGAATGTGCGTGCGTGCACACACACACATTGGGATCTAACCCGGCAGATATTTGTGTCTCTGAAGGCTTTAGCTTTCGCTTTAGGGCATTGGTCTGGAGCCAGGGAGGAAAACGGCAACACTGATCATTTCATGCAGTTTCAAAGCGGTTTCACTGTGTGTGCAGATAGTTACATAGGAAAACCAGCTTGAAGCTGGGATGGGTTTTACACAAACAGCAGAGCACCGATGCTCATGAAGGACTTGCTTTTGTGGAAATTTTGTTGCCTGGTTTTGAAGTGCATATAATGCTCAGTGTGGATTGAGGCCACTTCTACCACACTGCCATATCAAATACTGATGGTCTGCATTGAACCGGATTATATGGCAGTGCAGACCCACATAATCCGGTTCAAATGAGATAATGTAGGTCATTTGATTTAATAATCTGGATTAAGTGGCAGTGTAGAAGGTACCTGGGAGACCTGGGACCTCAGTGACACTCATATAAAATCTGGATTTATCTGCTTTGAAGTGGATTATATGTGTCCACATTGTCACAAATTCCAGCTCAAAGCAAATTATTTGGATTTTATATGGCAGAATAGATGGGGACTGAGGGCCCTTCCACACAGCCATATAACCCAGAATATCAAGGCAGATAATACACAAAATCTGCTTGGAACTGGATTATATGTGTCTACACTGTCACAAATTCCAGCTCAAAGCAAATTATTTGGATTTTATATGGCAGAATAGATGGGGACTGAGGGCCCTTCGACACAGCCATATAACCCAGAATATCAAGACGGATAATACACAAAATCTGCTTGGGACTGTGTCCACACTCAGCTAATGTGGGATTTTCTGTCTTGATATTCTGGGAAATAGGGCTGTGTGGAAGGGTTCTGGGTGGTATGGAATGGTGGAAGGTCTTTCCCCTTCTCTGCCCAAGAAAACTGGTGCCATTTCACCAAACTGCCCAATCCCACAGCATTCAGCCCAGTTAGTCCATGCGGTGTCAAACTGCATTGAGTGTACAGGTGGGGGAAAATATATAGCTCAGCTTGTGTACTTAGTCAAGAATTATCTTCCAAGTTTCATCCCATCCACCCTTTATTATGGTTATTGTGTAACTTTGAAGTCTACCATTATGTTTGCTTTGCTATTGTCACAACTTTTGGAAAGGGTTGGCATAGATATGGATCTGGGACATTGATTACCATTGTCCCTTAAGCATTCTTAATGTATGGGGCTTCTTTAATGGGTCTCAAGGTATGTGTAGCAAAAGAGGATTTTTCCCAGCACTCCCTGCTTGTGGAGGAGGACTACATCTTTTCTCTCATTTCATGGATTCTAGCAGCAGGCTGGGGTAATGGGCTCATTGATCAACAAGCAATTTGCTTGATGCCTGAAACTGGTATTCACATACTTCGGACAACCCTATTTACATTTGTAACCAATAAAATTGTGGCCTTTATCCATTCAAAGTTTTGTGTGGTGGTGTAGTTTGCAAAATGGAAGTGATTCACCTCTGACCACGCAAAAGAAAGAACCAGTAAAACAAAGTAATCATCGAAAGTGTATTAACTCAGTATAATAAACAAACTGTTAATAATCCAAATTCAGGCTATAACTGAATTCATTCAATTCTAAATAAAATTTCAATAAATACCAATACAGTTACGCCCACCCAGCATCCCATTACAAGTTTGATTCAGTAGAACTTAATGACAAAATAATGTGCTGGACTGCAAATGTTTAAATAATTAGAGTATAAGTATTGAAAAGAAGGCACATCAGTGAGTAGCACGCATGCCTGAAAAATGACTATTTAGTAGCACAACATTGGAATATGAAGGTAGGGAATGCAAGCATAGATATTCAGTTTTTGCAAAAAAGGATTGGATAATGACACAGCAATTACAGTGCATTTTGAAAAGAAATATCCATTATACTGCAAAGCAAAAGATAAAATAGTACAGCTATTATGAGGATTGCTGATTTCCATATTTTGTTTTATACCCTAGACCTTTAGGGAGTCCAATCATTTTTACTTTTGATAATTTACACATTGTGTTTTTTTTTTTGGGGGGGGGGGCTTCTGGTCTGATCTTAAGAGCAAACTCTCAAAAGAAGTGCAGGACCCATGCTCTTGGGTCAGTATCATTTCTTTGAAAGTGTTTCTCATCCCTAAAACTACTTTCATGTGTAAAATTGAGGTGACTGAAATGATTTGTTTCAGATAGTTGTGGGTATTTTCCAAATATGACTGCAAGGAACTACCAGGAAAATCACACACTGTAGCTCCTGTCAGGTCAATGTGTCCTCTGAAATACTAAAGATGTTAGGAATAGGATCCTGTTTGAAGTGACTAACTCTTCAAACCTTAAAAGTTAGGAGAAAAGGCACCCCCTTGATTTCAATTCAAATATATTTAAAGTGTGTCTGCTTCCATACTTAGCAACTTGGATAGTAAAATAAAAAAGTGAACTTTTCAATTTGCTGGCTAAATCGCTGGGTTATATGAACTTTTGCATAAAGAAAAAAACCAATAATATAGTCTGGACACCTGTATGGCAGTTACAAGTGTGTAACATGTAGTTACAATTCATGACTTTGGTGTATTCACAACTCCTACATAGTCTCTAGAATATGGGCTATGTAAGAACCATGAAATTATCCCAATCTTCATTTACTAGAAAGCAGCTGCTGTGATTGATGGAGGTCTGTTCCACTGCCAATTAGGAAGCAGCTCACTGCTGTTCCACCCTCCACATGTGTGTGGCACCTCTGGAATTAAGAGGAATTTCTGCTCATTGCAGTGGCAATCATTATGAGAAGGGGTGGAAATGTCACTAGCTTCCAGAGCAACAGACTTCCTTCGATTGCAGTGACTGCCTTCTGGTAGGTCGGCATTGAGGGTGAAGCCACAAATCTTTTTTGTGATAAAGATAGGATTGAATTGATAAGCAGAAACAAAAGAAGCAGCATTTCAGGGATATACACGCCAATGTTTGAAAGTGGGTGAACATGTCTGAAAGAGGTGACTTAAATATCAGACACAGAAATGATAATGCTGATAGAATTTCACTTTACACACATAAAGAGCATTTGAGATGCCTGGTTTTGTCACACTGTGCTTTATTTTCCACCTTGTTCTTTACTTTTATTAAATTTGAAACTTACTTTCATAGCTTTGCAACTTCTGTTGTGTAAAGGATATTGGGTCCAGTTGTCCTAAAATATTTTATTTTGTATTTAAAATTATTTGTTGTTAAACTAGCATGAACAGCTTGTGCTTCTGGGAGTGTGCTGAATTAAAAACTTTGAAAAGTAGGACCTATGAATTGTTTTGAATATACTTTTAAGGGCACATAGGGGTCCTGCTTCTTCTCTACACGTTAGGAAAATATTTGGCTTTAATGAGATGAAGAACCAAATGGTAAGCTGAAATCCTATCTTAAATGTTGTGGAGATGGACTTTGTGATCCTACAGAGCAAATCCTTGAAAACTGTTCAAATCATATTATATGCTCCTTAAAAATTAGGAGAAAATGCCATTTTGGTAGAAACATGCCATCAGTTCACAGCACCATTCACTAATCAACTCCTTCCATGTCAGCATCTAGTAACTTCAACACTGTCTGATCTTGATCCTGCTGCTCTGCTGTGTCCCTTTCATGCTCTTCTGCTTTAGGCTGCATGGAAGAACTCCCTGCGTCTTGAGCCACAGGAGAAGGGACAGTTGGCTCCGAGGGACAAAGAGGACTGCATGTTTGTAGGTCTTGTGGTTCTTCAGCTATTTCTTTGTCAGAAGTTGCCATGGGTATTTCCATATGATGCATGACCATGAAGGCAGTGGCCAGATTTTTCAGGATATTCTCATTAGTGGCAGATAGCTCAGCAACCACCTCACTTGTTACAGAGGAGCTTGTGGTAGCCTCCTTTTCCAAGCTAGGTTCTGCTCCACTCTGTTCTTCTCCTTCCTCTTCCTCTTCCTCATCTTCCTCCTTTTTTTCTTCAGGAAATTGTGCATCTTTTATTTTTTTATACAGTACATTCCTTTCATCCTGCAACGCTCTGCAGAGATTCTCTAACCTTTGAATTTTCACTACAAAGCACTCATATTCCTTGGCTCGCATTGCTTTCTGTGGGAAAGGAGAGAAAAAAGCTAATTGCTTGAAGGTCAACAAGATAAATAGCACAGAATAATCTGAGGGGCCACATTATCTTTTAATTTTTTTTTTGGTTTTTGTTAAGAGCATTCTTTGAAAGGTGGCCCCAAAAGATTGTCACTGGTTTGGTCACTCTGCCAAGTATTAGAGATTTTACAGGTACCCAGGCCCCATTCACATTGCATAGTCACAACACTGTTATTCCACTTTAACTGCCATGGTTCCATCCTATGGAACAATGGAGTTTGTAGTTTGGTAGAGGCATTAAAGGGAACCTCTGGTTGAAAATGTTAAATGTCACTTCTCTACATTGCAGAATCCCAGGATTCAATATGATGGAATCATGGTAGTTAGTGGAATAATACTGCTATAATTTTGTAATGTAAACGGGTCCTTGAGCTTGTGATGCTATGGGTCTTTATTTGCAACCATACATATATGTAGATAGCCACATTATACTGTTGCTTAATTCCTATTGTTAGCCCCAGTTAGAACAGGCTCATTTAATCAATGGGTTTACATAAGTGTTGGTTTACCATTCTGTTGTTGACTCAATTGATCTGTTTTAGAAGGAACTAGTAAATGGATTTAAACCAGCATTTGTTTATGTCATGCAAGATAGTATGTTTACAGGGAAGCAAATGAACATGTCATAACATGCAACATACACTGCCAGATACATGTGAAGCTAGCAATATTTAATAAGAAGGATTACATTTATCGTCTTTAGTTACAAATGATAATTCCCTTCTTTCTCAATGAAAATTTTATGGGTAGGTTGCAATATAAATATCTACCCTCTGTGTAGGAATTTTAGGGCTTAGAGGGCTGCCATGGGAGGGGGGGGGGGTAGAGAAATTGTGTGCATGTGCATTCAAGTATCTTGTTGATGTATGGTGAGCCTATGAATTGTATAGGGTTTTCTTAGGCAATAAATATTCAAAGATGGTTTTGCCAGTTTCCTTCTCTGAAATATAACCTAAAGCAGCTGGTATTCGCTGGTGCTCTTTCATTGAGGTTTTAGTCAGGGCTAACCCTATATAGCTTGGGTCCAGGTCATTCGAAGGACAGTATCTCTCTCTATGAACCTTCTAGAATTCTACAATCATTCTGTCTCACCACCCTTTTTGGTTTCTGTTCCAAGACTCTAGAGAGACCAGGGTGGCCCCATCCCTGCTTGCTTTTCATAGGCACCTAAAGACATATGTTTGCCATCAGGCATTTTGTGGATGATGATAGACAGGTTGCTGGGGAGGTTGTGGGTGAGATTTTTTGGAGATAGTTTTAAAATGTAATTTTAATTGTATTTTATGGTATTTTAACTTTTGTATCTTATGATATAAGTATTTGGGTTTTTTTAATTTTTGTATTTTCCTTTATATTTTTTATTGACTTGTGTCATGTTGTTGTTGTGTCCCTTGAGTCTCTATGGGGAAAAGAAAGATAGAAATGAAGTAAATAAGTCAGTAAATAATCCTGCCTGGCTTCCAGTAAAGATGGAAGTGTCTAGATCTGTTTCCAACTCTTTTTTTTTAAACCAAACAACTATACACAAAATCATCACTACATATGAAAGGTCATCTTCTTGGTTTGCACTCAATCATCACATCTTGGTGTCTGAAAAATATTTTAAGCAAATACTATTTCTATTTGTGGTTATGCTATTTTAAGACTTAGGCTGCCATATAAAATCTAAATCATCAGCTTTGAATTGAATATAGCAGTGTAGACTCTTATAATCCAGTTCAAAATAGATAATGTGGATTATCTGCTTTGATAATCTGATAATCTGGATTATATGGCAGTGTAGAAGGGGCCTTAGAGCTAACCATGTGGCTGAGAGAGTTACTGTTTTGGACAAGTGCCAAAATTGCCTAACTGATGTGGTTCTCCAACATATTTTTTATGAATGGAAGGTGACCTTCATTTTGCCATTCTTAAAATTACCCTAAATGGGTGGATAGAAAAGTAGAGAAAGCATGACATATACATATTTATGAATGGAGGACAGAATATGGAACCTAAAGTTCCAAAAGTAACTTTTATACCTTCTGTCTGAAATCCTCCATAACAATGGTTTCACCAAATATCTGTTAGTAAACACATTTAAAACTACATTTATGGAACTATATGTTTCAAATTTAATAAATGAGAACATTGTTCAGGTTTCTCACCTCTTCTATCATATCCAGCAAAGCTTTATTGCAGTTCTCAAACCTTGATTTCCAGGTAGCTGTGTCCTTTTCCAACTTTTTCATTTTCTTTGTCATCTTTAGAAGCAAAGGAAATGTCCCAATAGACACATTAAACCAGAACAGATCGGCCTCTTTACTTCAACTTCAGTGCCCCTCTCCCCATTTTAATGGATTTTGTATAGAACCACAACATCTGACAGTAGTTGGAAATGTTATAGCTACTTTTTTAAGGACACATATATGAACTCATGTTCGGAATATATATGTTTGTAAAGGATCTTTGGATTTTGGCTATAGTGTATCTTTACTAGACTTGAGTTTGTTTGGTTCTGTGACCAAAAAAGTTGGGGAAATAACTGTACTAGAGAGATGAGACACAGATTTCCTAGGTACACCAGGGCTTTCTAAAAAACAACAATGGAATCAGAAATAATGCACAATGTAAATCTAGAAAGAAGCAATAATAATAATAATAATAATCATCATCATCATCATCATCATCATTAATATCTCCCTGAGGGGACTCAGGGCATTTTACACACAAAAAGGCAAACATTCAATGCCTGAGCAAGTGCAAATACATTAAAGCAACAAATACAAATATTGACAACAGCAAGCAAATCGCATAAATACGCAAACATCAAAATAAGAAACAGGATACAAATAATCACAAAAACACGATACATTAAAAACATAATCAACATTAAAACATCTATCATAGTAATAACAATTAAAATATGTGAGCATAGTAAGATAATATATGGAAAATACACAGACAACAAAATCTATAAGCCGTACACTACAGTCAGTGTCATATGTGTGAGTAAAACAACATAGACAAAATTATAAATAATTGTGTGGCCTATTGAACACTTTGGTTGGCAGAAGTAAGCACCATAAACCATGTGCTGAAATTCTTAATATAAGTGTATAGTCTTACATTTCTCTACCTTCTCTCCTAATCTATCAAGAACTCTGGACTACTCAGTGGTAAGCTCTCTCTATATATTACTATCGGATGGTGTGATGTTTTCTCAGCAGTGAAAAAAATCAAATCATTGAAGAAATGAGGGAGAATGGGGAGGTTAACATTTTAATCTACACACCCATGCCAAACCCAACAACAACAACAACAATCTATAGAGAACAAAAAAGTGAATTGGCATAGTCCAGGAAGGCTTCGCAAATTTCAAATAATTGATCAGTTTATGGAAAAATAGATCCTCTTATCATTGAAAGGTTAGAAGAAACAAAAGCTCTTGAGCAAATATTGTTTCTCTAGTTTTTATTCTACTAAATGAATGAACAAGGATTGGAAAGACATGAGATCAACACAAAATTTTCTGAGTTTGACTGCAATTGAGTCTGTCAAATCCCACAGAAAAAAGATGGTTAGTCTTGCTAGCTAGTTCTATGACATAAAAGTCTTGATCATCAAAGCTAAAAGAACCTGAAGGGAGTCTAGCAATCTGCTCTGCCCACATGGAGAGCCTCAAAAATAGATCTTTAAACTCACCTTATCCATCTCTTGCTTGAAGCTGGCAAACACTTCGTTGCTTTTTGTCAGCGTTTTCTGAAATTCCTCAAATCGTTCAGAATAAAGAGTAAGCTGTAATAACAGGAAGATATTGGAATCAGATCTTTATTAACAGTTTCCTTACACCTTATACTCTTGTGTATAAATCAACCTCATGTATTAGTCAAAGACAGGTTTTGGGGGCCAAAATGATGCATTTTTGATATGATAGAATCATAGAATCATAGAATCATGGAGTTGGAAGAGACCTCATGGGCCATCCAGTCCAACCCCCTGCCAAGAAGCAGGAATATTGCATTCCAATCAACCCTGACAGATGGCCATCCAGCCTCTGTTTAAAAGCTTCCAAAGAAGGAGCCTCCACCACACTCCGGGGCAGAGAGTTCCACTGCTGAACGGCTCTCACAGATGGAATCTCCTCTCTTGTAGTTCAGATGGAATCTCCCCTCTTGTAGTTTGAAGCCATTGTTCCGCGTCCTAGTCTCCAGGGAAGCAGAAAACAAGCTTTCTCCCTCCTCCCTGTGGCTTCCTCTCACATATTTATACATGGCTATCATATCCCCTCTCCGCCTTCTCTTCTTCAGGCTAAACATGATCCATGGATAAATTGAGGGTCATTCCACACAGAGGAGGGGAAAGTGCCAGCCCTATCTCAAAGCGTCAGTCACCCTTGGATGCTACCATTTTCCCACATAGGCATTCAAAAAGACCTTTCACCACTCTACTTGGAGATGAGGATGGTTCACTTTTTAAAATTAAAAATGAGAAATATTATTGACCATTGTCAAAAAAGGAACCATCCTTTTCTAAGTAGAGTGGCGAAAGGCAATAGATCAGCCTGTTTCTGGAAAGCCTTAAAAAACAAGCACCAACTACCTCTGTTTTCTCCCTTGCAGTGCTGCTTCTGATCTTTTAAAAATGCTTGGGCAGGAAAAGGGTAGCAGTGGCAGTGGGTGTTGGGCATTTCCCTTCAAAGGAGAATTTGTATGTGGGTCAGAACAGGTATATTTTAAATGTAACTCTAGCCAAATACACACACACGCACAGATGCATGCTTTGGATAGTATAGGGAAGGGTTAACACTACTGTGGTGTTTGTTTTGGTGTATGTGCCCCTGTTCAGAAGATGTCACCTCACTTTCTGTTCCTGTGATCATTAGAAGTTGAAAAATTGCCTTGTTGTGGAAGCAAGGATTGGCGAGAAAGCTTCAGTTGAGACACCTTTGCTCCATGAAAACTCTTTCAGCAGTAAATTTTCCTTCCTAGGGGTAGATTTCTCTCACTTCTTGATGTCTCACTCCTGTTCTTAACTACGAGTCATTTGTAAGTCAGATGTTTGCAACTCAAGGACTGTTTGTATATGGTTGCAGATGGCATGCTGTGATGAAGTGAAATGCAATCACATTGGGTTATCTGGATGTCTTTCACATTTATGTATCTACTATATGAGCCATCTATGAATGAAAAATAAATGCTTCACCTGGGCCTGAAGAATTGTCTCTTGTTCCTTCAACATTTTTGCCTGAAGTTTCCATTCTGCAGCTTGGTTGAGTAGCTGTATGGAATTGAACAACAACAAACTACAATGTAAAAGTTGTACTTTGTTTTGAAGAAACTCACATTTTCTGCTGCTTGTAGAAATGTATTCCATAGCATCGTACCATTTGAAATGTTCAGCTGAAATCCTAGAGCCTGTAAGCTACATACACAAGGGTTTTCCCTGTAGTTTTCAAAATGCTATGTGTTTTTTTGAAACATTCTTCCTTTATCAAAAGGTGGGAAAACACAGGGATTAAAAAACATCTTTGGGGAAATTATAGATGGGTTGTGTTCAACACTATAAAACAAAAGTCTTTAATAGCCTGAGGGCCAAGTCAGGTTTCAGGCTAGTCATTAATCCTGCAAACTATCTTGGCTTTGACACTGCTCCAAATTTCATCAGGACAGTATTGTCACATATTTCAGGTGGGATGCTGTATTATAGTTGCACGTCAGATGTAAAAACCAGTAACAACAAAATGGATGAGGTCAAAGGCATCCAGATAGTCAGTTATGACTTCCTAATAACTCCCCCCCTCCCCAGTCTTACTGATATCAAGTAATGGATGTGTCTAATGTATTTTTAAAGGTTTGATGTTAATCCTGGACTTACTCTGTAACAGAAACAAAGCCTCAAAGTGTTTGAAATTAGTAAATTAAAGGCGGGAAACAAACATGAATGTATAGTCTAGAACAGGCCCGTAGCCAGGATTTCGTTTCGGGGGGGGGGGGGGGGGTGAATTTTTTTTCAGGGGGGTTTTGGGGGGGATGAGTTTCGGGGGGGGGCTGAGTCTGAGTGAAAGAGGGTCTAGCCTAGCAAACCTTTTGTATCATTACCCCAATACCCCCATGCATATGGGATATATTGAGTATGGTATCAGATCATGATATGAATAAACATAACAGTTTAAATAATGCACCAGTAAGGCCTTTTCGCGAACCACCATGAGAATTGGGGGGGGGGGCTGAAGCCCCTCGCGCCCCCCCCCCCGGCTACATGCCTGGTCTAGAATACATCTTTAAAAAGTGCGGGTTATCCACACCAATGCTGGGATTTTATTAATAAAATACAGAGTAGAAACAAGGAAATACACAATTCATAAAGAATACATAACTATTGGAGTTTTTGCTCAGATAGGTTGGTCTTTTATTTGCCCCTAAAATGTCTGAAATGCCCTAAAGACTTGTTAAGACTCATCTGCTTGAGGCTAGGTTTAATGTAGCCTCCAAGGGATTGCCCTCTTTTTTTGTGAACTTCCTCATCCAAACGTTGTTCTCTAATTAAAGACAAGATGTAGGAAGCAACTTCATTTGGGAAGAAAAGATCTTTAATTCAGAACAAACCTCTTACATCTGCAAGCAATATTTCTGATTGCTTTAGAAGAGCCCCCTGAGTTCAATTGCAAGATATATGGGAACTCTCTAAGCACAGACCAAGGCAAGATGCCAGTTATAGCGCTCCAGGGGTCCTTCCACACAGCTGTATAATCCAGAATTCCAAGGCAGATAATTCACAATATCTGCTTTGAATTGGGTTATCTGAGTCCACACTGCCATATAATCCAGTTCAAAGTTCACCTATGTTTTCAATGCCTAGTGCCATGGCTGTTAAAAGCCAGTTACTTGAGTGTTTGGTTGCTTGAGTTCCAGTTAACTGAGGACTCTTCCACACAGTTCTATATCTCAGAATATCAAGGCAGAAAATCCCACAATATCTGCTTTGAACAGGGTTATCTGAGTCCACACTCAGATAATGTGGGATTTTCTGCCTTGATATTCTGGGATATAGGGCTGTGTGGAAGGGCCCCCAGAATCCAATTAATTAGTTGTCATCCACTCAGTTTTTCTCTCTTCCTCCCTTTGTGCTCAGTTTACTACCACTGCTGCAAACTGAGTGGCAAAGTTTCCACTTTTGCCCTTTCTGTAGACTCAATCAAAAGCAAATTGCTGCAGACTATTCTAGCTTGCCTGTTCTTCCTCATTGCGACCTTGACCACTCTGACATAGCTTGGCCACACTTGTCCTGGTCTTCATCTGTGAAATGTTGGAGGGTATGTGAAAGCAGATGCTGCTGTAGGAAATGCAGTGCCATTTAGTCATGGCAGAGACATTGAAAGGGTTCTAAACACATGACAGGGGAATAACTAAGCCCAATGGAGGCCTCAGGTCAGGACCATACATTCTGATGAACATAGGATTACTACAGATTGAGCACTCCTTATCTGGAAACCCAAAACCAGAAATATTTTACAATTTTTTACAGGTTAAACCCTTGTGCTGCTGAACTGCTGACTTGAAGGTTGGTGGTTTGAATCTGTGGGATGAGGTGAGCTCCCATTGTTAGCCCAGCTCCTGCCAACCTAACAGTTCAAAAACATGCAAATTTGAGTAGGTAAATAGGTACCACTTTGGCAGGAAAGGCATAAGACACTCAAAGCAGTCATGCCAGTCATACAACCAGAAGGTGACAACACAGGCTCCTCAGCTTGGAAATGGAGACCAGCACCTCTCCCATTGCTAGAGATGAATACCACCTCCAAAGCCGGAAATGAAAGAAGCCTCTGCCTTTGTTTGTGTATCTCATTGTATTGTAACAAGACATTGAATGTTTTTCAGTATCTATTTACACTGTAATCTTCTCTGGGTCCCCATAGGGAGAAGAACGGAATAGAAATAGTGTTGTTGTTGTTGTTGTTGATATTATTATTATTATTATTATTATTATTATTATTATTATTATTACCCACATCAGTGGCTGAGATATTCATACCTTTGTGCATTATTCAAAATATTGGCTATAAAATTACTTTCAGGCTATGTGTATTATTAAACATACATGTATTTAGACCTGAGTCCCATCTCCAAGATATCTCATGAAGTATATTATGCAAATATAGGTATTTCAGAATCTGGGGGGAAAAATCCAAAATCCAAAACACTTCTGGTTCCAAGCATTTCAGATAAGGGATACTGTGGTGATTATATCTGGATATGAAGTGAACCACACTAGTTTGACAAGTGGAAGGCTAGATTGACTAGGCACCTTCATTTTTGGAAGCAGTCTGGTGTGTACTGAAATATGCAAGTCTCTCAGAGTTATATTCAGAAGGTCAGAACAAATGAACTGAGCTTCATGTCTCACTGTTTAGAAAATCAACTATACTATGAGTCATTTAAACAACCAGGCTATAATGAGATCATTGTAGGCATGTGAATAATAAAATTGCCTGGTTCTACATTTATTCTTTGACATACACGTTTTTTATGTTGGGCCCCGTGGTGCTGTCTCACCCACTCTCTTTGCTTGGTTTCCTCAAAGATAAAAGTTGTGAAGGCAAAATGTGTTGGCATAAAGATTAGGAGAAAGTGAAAACTGAACTTTGTTACAACACTTTTAAAAAAAAGTCATCTGGGGCAGGCTAGTAATACTGGAATCTGCTGCCTGAAGCACAGAGCTGAAGTTGTGGAACACAACACTGCTGTGGGGATGTATAGGTATAGGCATGTGTTCATGTAAATTCTGGATCTGATCCCAGAACATAATCATATCCTCCAACTGTCCTGATTTGGCAGAGACTATCCCAATTAATATCTGTAGAACCATTCTTTTAGCTGCTTTAAAAGTATCCTGGTTTCTTTCTACTCTTCTCACTTTCCCTCTTTGTTCTCAGCTTATTTCAATGGCTGCAAACTGAGTTCAAAGTGGAAAAGTAGTTTGCATTGAAATAACTTAGCAGGGGGGAAGATGAGAGGAGGGCTTTCTTGCCCTTTTTATAGGTTCAAGCCAAAACAAAATGCCACAGTTCTTTTCCATTAAGAGCTATGTGTGTTAGCTAAGGCTGAAATTCTGTTTTGATAATGATAATTTGTTGATGATGGATAAAAAATAATTACAACACCAATGAACATCAAATGAAAGGCTTCAGAACCTTTGTTGAACAAAATAGGGAAATGTAAATGTGAGTATTTCTTGATGTGGGTGAGTCCCTTTCCTCCATCTCTGAGATTTTTTTATTCTGTTAAAAGTGACTTGAGAACATACTGCAAATTGCTTCTGGTGTGAGAGAATTGGCTGTCTACAGAGATGTTGCCCAGGGGATGCCTGGATGTGTTATGATTCTGTTGGAAGGCTTCTCTCATGTTCCTGCAAGCTAGAGCTGATAGACAGGAGCTCACCATGTCTTGTGGATTTGAACCAGCAACCTTCAGGTCAGCAACTCAACCTTTGGGTCAGCAGTCCAGTCGGCACAAGGGTTTAACCCATTGCGTCACTGCGGCACTGTCACTGAGATATAAAGTTATAATTGAAATGGAATTGTGAGGTGGCTTAGCTCTATTAATCAATTTAAAATGCCACAAGGATCTTTGCCATTTTTGCAAGAAATTAAAAAAACTGGACAAAAGATACGGTCATTATTGTAAAAGGACATGCTAAAACGTTGCAAGGATATGATGGGATGCACTGAATATGCTTTTGCAACATGATCAAGCTCACTGTTCCCTTAGTTATACAAATTAGTGCCAACAAGAGCCAGTAATAAGACTAGATTTGTCAGGTCTCAAGAGGAAGCCAACGAAAAGCTTCTCTACGACCACTGGGAGGCAGCAGAGATATTCTGTTGCAGATATGAAAAGCTGAATAGGGACAGAGATCTTGCTTTAGCTTCTCTAGAGCAAAAGCAATTTGGTTTTTTGAAATAAAGTGAGACATTCATGATTAGATTTATGCAATAAGTCAAAAGACTACACCATTATAAAGAATTCTTAAGCATTTGCTGACTCTTGAAAACCCGGCTCAATTAAGTTATCATTCTAGCCATATTTTAGCCTATAGTATTGTAAATTGACCCTCTCCTTCAGACTGGTCTACTCAGGAATCAAGAAAGCCCTTGAAGGCTAGTGTACTAGACCCATAACAGTCCCATTATATGGCAGTGTAGGTCCCTTCTACATTGCCATATAATCCAGATTATCAAAGCAGCCCACATTATCTTCTTTGAACTGAATTATATGAGTCTACACTGCCATATAATCCAATTAAACCAGATAATCTGGTTTTTATATGGCAGTATAGGAGGGGCCTAAGAGTAAGAATTGGGGAGTAAATTTATGGAAGTAAGAACATTCAAACAGTTCAGTGTCTACTGTCTTTTTACCTTCATATTACCTTCTGAGTATCCCAGCATATAAAGATGCAAGAGAGCCATTTTAGTAGAATAACAATTTAAGAGGGAGACAGGGGACTGGGTGGAAGGGAATAATTTTTTTGGACTATGACTCACATAACACTTCAGCAAGCGTGGTCAGTGGCCTTGCTGGCTTGCTGGGAGTTTGTGTCCAAAGCCTTTCCAATAAGTAAGAATGAACAGGCCAAACAAGGGAGAGCTTGCACCTTAACACGCCTGTACCTAGTAGTTGCTAGACTGCATGCCTTTCTAAAAGTTCAGGCATAGAACATATTCATTTCCTTTACCTTTAATTTGAGTGCTCTGGTTAATTTATTCTCCCTGCCTTCTCCATATTTGGACAGCACATATTAGAGAATGTCTGTAATAAAGCCCTTATTTTTTGTATTAAGTCTAAATCATGCACACCCATGTTTACAAAGAAGACTAAGCTTGCTTCATTTCTCTGCTAGACTTTGGGTGCAGGTAGTAGTGGGGGACTGGTTAGTACTCACTTTCTTCTTGCAAATGATAGTTATTCTACTTGTAATTACTCTCACATTCCCCAACAGATCTGGATTCACATTTTCTCTTATGGCTTGGGAACTCCCTGGGTGATTGCATATCACTTGCTATGCCTGGCCACTCAAAGCATCTTTGAGAACAAAGCTATATGCATCCCTTAATCTCCTTAGTGAAAAAAATTGGGTACAACTGAGTGAAATAAACATATTTTTGGATGGGAAGGCCATATGTTTCCATATTATTGTAGTGAAAACAGATTGGCCATCATCTAACCACCAGGGAGCCCCTGGTGGTTCGATGAGTTGAACCCTTGTGCCAGCAGGACCGAAGACCTACAAATCAAAGGTTTGAATCCAGGGAGAGTGCAGATGAGCTCCCTCTGTTAGCTCTGGCTCCCCATGTGAGGACATGAGAGAAGCCTCCCACAAAGATGGTAAAACATCAAAACATCCAGGCGTCCCCTGGGCAATGTCCTTGCAGATGGCCAATTCTCTCACACCGGAAGCGACTTGCAATTTCTCAAGTTGCTCCTGAAACAAACAAAAAAACCCCAAAACAAATCTATCCATTGCCGAGATGAGAAACCACTAAGAACTCGTGACTTTTAGTTTAGATCAGAGTGGCCTAATTAAAATATAGAGGTAGCATTTTAGAGGTGATCTTGGCTTACATATAAAAAAGTGAATTGATAAGTACATATTCCTTCTCACGCTGATGTCGGTCCTCTGCTTCTTTCATCACCTCCTGTGACTGTTCCAGCTTGGCGTCCACCAGTTTCTGCTGAAGCTCCCTATGCTTGAATATCTTATCAAGGTGCTGAAAGGGGGTGTGAGAGGAGGATTATGTTATTTTTAGGCGCACTGGTTCTCAGTTTTGATACAATGAAGCAAATGCTGGAAAATGACTACAGTACTTGATTAAGGTTGCAATGCTTATGCACCATTGCATGCGAACAAGCTGCAGTGCATACAGTGAGAGTTATTTTTAGGAAAACATTGATAAAACACTGAAGTATTTGAAATATTTACAATTTTATTGGCATTTCATTAAATTGATAGATTTAGTGAGTATACTCCCAAATAAACCAGATAATCAAATAAATAAGCTACAAATTTGTGCCACAAAATCCAATACCTAAGGTAATGATGGTTGTTTTACACATTTTGTCTCTGTGTCACTGCTTTTGATATTTATTTGTAACCCACTGAAAAAGGGTTGTTTACTGTATACAATACACTTCTGCTTTCTGCTTGAAAGGGTTGCCTAGAAATGCAATGAATAAACTAAAGAACTCAGGAACTGATGTGAGAGTCATTTTGTAGTCATGTGCCTTTAAGTCAGCCCCAACATATGGTGACCACATCATGGGGTCTTTGGAGCCAGATTGATTCAAAGGAGGTTTTTGAAAAAATATTGACAGGTTCTGAATAAGTCTCTGAGGAGAGAGCAGAAAGCAAGTTGCATTTTGAGGCTCATCCTTGCATTTTAAGGCTTGTGTGTGTGTGTGTGTGGTGGTGTTTGCTTTTGGCTGAATGCTGTCCCTGAGCACATGATCTAAGTGGCTGGGGATTCTGCTGAGCTACTGTCTTGCTTGAGGGCAGAGCTAGCAACCAGTAGCTCTATATAACTGTTCCAGTTCAGTCTTTGAGGGCCTGAAAGGCTGAAAGGGTGAAAAAATAACAGCACGGATGGAGAAAAATGATCCTGTCATTCTTTGCAACAATGTGTGGGAAAAGTTTGTCTTCTTGTCAGCAAATCTCACTGACTACACTTGCAGCAAGTGGAAACTAGTGGCTGTCCTCAAAGAGAAAGTCAGTGTAGAGCAGCTATGAATCAAGACTCTTCAAAACACCAAGGAAGCGGGAACTTCCAGGACAGAACAGAAGAATGGACCATATAGAATCATGAGGAAGAAACTCACAATGAAAACAAAGAGGATTATAATGCTGAGGGAGAACCCTGGAGGACAGTAACCAGCAGGAGCAGATCACCCATAAGTGATTCAGAACTTCTCCAACTAAACCATCACTCCCTACATCTTCTTGAGAGTAAAGGTTGTGCAGGATACCAGCAGCAAGAGACACTGCTTGCTGAGGAAGGAGTCAATCTAACCACCCATTGAAGCAAGAGGAGAAGAAAGGTGCTGGTGGTAGACGATTCATTTCGTAGAGGTACAGAGGGAACTATGTGCCAGTCAGCCAACACTCATATGCTCTCTTCCTGATATACATATCCAAGATATCAATGACCATTTGACATGGTTCATCAAGAACAGAGAGCATTCATGTGGGTACAGGGCTGGGATGTAGCACAGCTGGTTAATTGCCAGCAGCAATTGATCACTGCCGACAGGAAGGCGGCGAGTTTGAAGCCTGACTTGGATTGAGCACCCGACTGTCAAGCTTAGCTTACTGCCCACCTTAGCAGTTCGCAAACAGCTGTGCTGTGAATACAGAAACCAGGCACTGCTTAAAGCGGGGAGGTATTTTACGAGAACATAAAAATGCCAGCGATCAAAGAACAAGGAGGAAATACTATGATCAAAAGAGTTAGACATGATAGTGGATGAAGCGACCATAGTAGTGGATGAAGTGTCTAAAAGCAGCATTGAATGTTTGCAGTGTATGTGTGCATGTGATCCGTCCTGAGTCCCCTTCGGGGTGAGAAGGGCAGAATATAGATACAATAAATAAATAAATAAATAAATAACGCATTTTACCAAGAACACTTTTTGCAGGGTGGAAGTGCAGAGTTTATAGGCACAGGTCATATCCTTGCAGATAGAGGACCAAACAGGGAGAAAAAACTACTATGGCTGTACAACAGGTTGTTCAGATGGTATTGATGGGAGCGGTTTTGGTTTCTAGGACCACCGTCTTCCCTTCCCAGAAGAAAGACTACTGACTATTGATAGGCTACACCTCATGAAGATCGGAAGAATGTTTTAAGAAGAACATGGCAGATCTGATCAAAAGTGTATTAAACTAATTCCTTAAGGGTTTGAAGATGATAGCTTAAGCATTTGCCAAAAGCAAGTTATGAACACAAATATGTGAATTTTAGAAAAGAAACAGTCAAAGAATGCTAAGCACAGTAAAACTCACAGTAGACTGTATTTTAGATGCTTACACACTAATGCACAAAGTTTGAGAACAACAACATGTGCTTCAAGCCCTAGCGTGGGAAGGCATATATGACTTTACAGTTACAACAAAGATTTGATGGGATGATTCCCATGACAAAATAACAACCAAAGAATGTCATCTGTTAAAAAAATAGATGGGGAAGAAAAGGAAGGGGAATAGCATTTTATGTCACAGACAAATTCACTTGTACAGAAATCCATATGAGTGATCAAGCTAAACTAGTGGAGTGCATCTGGGTAAAATTAAAAAGGGAAAGAAATTTAGTTAGTCTTGGCCATTCTCTGCTTACATATTATTATTATTTGTTATAATAATATTATGTTTATTTATATCCCTCTTTTTCTCTCCCCAACGGAGACTCAAATCACATGGCTCTCTCACCTCCTCTCTAACTTCATACTGATCTATGATGCTTTTCAATTTCTCTGCGAGCTCGGTGTTTTCCTGGCACAACTTCATGTTCCTTTCACTTTGCTGCTCAATCTGGGCTTGGATATCATTCAGTGTGCCCTGGAAATGATTTGTGATCTCCTTCCTTTTTTCCTCTTCTTCTCTTGCCCGCTGGAGGGTCTCCTCCTGTAATAAAACACTTACTGCATTATAACGGTTTCCTTTCCATAGATACAATGCAATTAGCAACCGCTGGACCAGTGTTAGATGCAGCCTTATGAGGGGATGGAGAGTCACACTTGGTGGATTTCAGATTTCATATTGTCTGATATAGGAGGCAGAGAAGGAGATTGTTGCAGAGGTTTTTTTTTTTAAATAGTCATGGCTCCTGAGCCTCTGTTGTCAAAAAAGGCACGCTAGCCCTTAGGACATAGATAGGAAGGGCTATTTATGTATTCAGCTGTGTTTCTAAGTCTCACTCAAGAGCTTGGGATATGTAACAGCAATTAAATCAAACCAAATAAAGCACATGAACACACAAAATGTAGCTAGGAAAAAAGCTTATAAATAAATGAAAAGCTTTCTTCCACTTTACTTATGTTTTCCCACTAATCATCTATTCTAGTGGTTAGAGGTTAAATCCTACACATACTGTAGGATTTTTTCACAGGGCAAAATCTTATTGAACACCAAAGAATTCACTGTACAGGAAATATGCATAGGAGCACACTATTGCTATGGAATTATTTGGGTGGTTATTTTATTAGTATTTGCATTAGTGCATGTTGACTATGTGAAAAGTTATAAACCACATTGGGGATTAATATTAAAAGGTGTGGCAATGGTATTTAAACATATACACACATAATAGAACTTATGAAAAAAATAATAACAGATGATAGGGCTACCAGTGCCTACTCATTCTGAAGGCTAAGCATTATTTCCAGGTTCGGGGGAAGTGACTTCTGGTGTTTCCAGTGTCAATGGGATGGCAAATCTGCTCTGGATTTCGTTACAAAAAAGCTATCTACGAGGGTCGAATGAAAAGTAATGCTTCCACCTTTGTTACTTGGGTTTGGATGGGAATATTTAAATAAATCAAGTGCAGAAATCATCCTTAGAATGTGCTCTTTAACTTTCACTATTCACTTTTCCACATAATCACCAGAAAATTGGATACATTCTGCCAACAATGAACAAGTTTTCTGAAGCTGTCACGGAAGAAATCGACACTCTGTTTCTGCAACCCATAGTGCACAGATCTTTTGATAGCCAAGCAAAGTAATAATGTAATCCACACATTCTTGTGAAATGCCAATTATGTTTGAAATTTCTCTCTAAGTGATACGATTTTCCTGAAGCAATCTTGCTTGTGAAACTTGGTGGTTGCTGTCACAGGATGTCCAACCCTTTGTTTATCACGCAAGTCAGATGTTCCCACCTCTTTAAACTTACTCACCCAATGAACCACAGTACTCACATCAACACAATCACCATAAACAGCTTCCATTCTCTGATGAATCTCCTTTGGGGTGACACCTTCTGCTGTCAACAATTCAATGACTGCACATTGCCCAATTGTCTGCTTAGGGTTCCATACTTCGCACTTTAACAACACAACCATTCAATGCTAAGGCTTGCTGTCAAAATGGAACTGTAGAGGAGAGCCTACTGAACAAACCAGTACCTGCAGCATACCAGTACTGCCATCTGTTGAGGAGTTATGAAGATGGAGGCATTACTTTTCATTCAACCCTTGTCAGTTGTTTTAAAGACTATTAAAACCTGGAGTGGACTGACTGTCCCAAAGGCCAGATAGACATCTACCACCTCTGATAGAGACAGCATGACTCCAAAGAATAAATGCTGGGTAAGAGCCATGTTCCTCATGCCCTGCTTGTTCTATTATAAAAAACCCTTTATTTATGTTAGTTTACAAATTATAGTCCATGACTTGAAATAAAGGTTTCATTTCAGTCAAGAGATGCCACACTTTCCAATAAGGTCCAGAGGTCAGAAAAATGACTCTTTTGGCACTGTAACTCCTACCATGTGTGGTTCTCCCAGCTTGGAAGGGGGAGGGGGGGAGGGATCTAGATCTTGTAGTAAATAAACAAAGCAGCTTTTCTGAATCCTGGTAATGATTGGTTAAATACATGCTAGTCTGGAATATGTATGTGACCTTTTTACTAGCATCCTCATAGTCTTTGGCTTAATCCAAGCTTTTTTTCTTCTGTTTCAAGATAATACTTGCAAAACTGCATTACTTGCTCAGAGCACCAAGCATAAAAAAAACAAACAAAACAAAACGCTTTGTGTTGATATTTCTCTATTTGTTTAAACGTGATGAAAAGAAAAATTACAAGACCATTTAAATAAATCTTGTCAACTTTTTGACAATTTTAAAAAGTTTTCTAATCCAAGTGTTGCACCACAACTAGACTGGACGGATAAAGGCTACATTTTGACACAGAGATAAGGGGTAAAGCTAATCATTCTCAATGTTCAAACGTATCTCACCCTTCTGAGATATCTATGAGATCCTGTCTCTGTCAACCTGACTTTAGTGATTACAAAAACCTCCCTTTCTTCTTTGTGCAATACCTCCCAAGCTATTTCTAGTAGCATCATTCCATAGTGCTTCTGTAACAGTCAGCTGCTACCACCGCATAGCTGGGCAGCTCCCTTGGGATCCAGCCAGAACTGGGGAGAAACAATCAACCCATATTCTTAGTAGTGCTCATGTGGCAGCAGGCCTTAAACGTTAAAGCAGCACACACGGATTGAAACCATAGACCCATTGTATCCATTAGCAGTGCTCAAACATCTCAACTAAAAGTGAAGAAATGGGTCATAACCTCCCTTTCTGCAACCCTTGGTGCCTCCTTGGAAGTCCATAGACCTTGCAAAACCACTTCAAAAGGTAGAGCCTTTGGTCACCCCCATCTCCTGAGCCTTCAAAAACAGGTGAGAATAAAATTAAGAGTGAAGTCACATCACTTTCCTTTTTTGATCTAAATGTCCCACCCCATGCTGGTCCAGTTGTCTTTCCCAAGTAAGCCTTCTCAACTATTTGTTGTTTCAGGTGTGGTGGTGCTGTTTTTTCTACTGTTTTTAAAAATATTTTTATTATTTTATCATGGTTTAATACATTTGTTATACATTGTTTGTTTTACAGCAGATACATATTATTCGATACAACCTGCCATACTTTTGGCATCTAGTGTTATTTTTCTGCTTATACATATTTTCTGTCCCTCACCACTGTGCTCCCCTCCCCACCTCTCAAGCCACAGCTTTTACATATCATCTGTCCAAAATTTCAATTCTTCTTGTGGAGGTAACTTTCCTTCTTTATTTTTTTTAATCCTTTTTCAATAATTTTTCTCCATACATCATCAAAATCACTTTGTTTCCATATACCTCTTTTAACTTTTAATATACATGTCAGTTTATCATTTATTGCCAATTTCCAAACTTCCTTGTACCACTCCTCTATTTGTATATCTATTTCTTTTTTCTCTACTGTTAATGTTGAATAAAGACTCAACACACATCCCACACAGACTCATCTACACTACCATATATTTTTATTTATTGTTTATTTACTATATTTATACACTACCCTTCTCAACCCCGAAGGGGACCCAGAGGGCTTTACAATTGGCAGCAAAGAAGCCAAGATCTTATCTACACTTCCATACAATCCAGTTCAAAGCAGATAATCTGGATTCAGAACCTGGATTATATGGCTTTGTAGATGAGGCCTCAGCTTCTTTGCATAGACTGGGGAGGGAATGCCATCTTGGCCTTTACTTTAGATAGCAAAATGCCTTGAACTAGTTCTGTCCCCAATTAGCCTGGTGATCATGCCATGTGAGATAGGGTGGCCTTATTTAACAGATTTATTTGTATTTGGATGAAAGAACTTCAGTGCTAAAATATCACTAGCCAAAAGAAAAGGGAGCACATGGGGAGGTGAACTGAGAGACCAGAATGGTAATCAAATTGGGATTTACAATGGAGATGACATTAATGAGAACTGATGCCTAGAAAAGGAAATGGATTATATAATTTGGCATAACAATAAAAGTAGTTCTGACATGTGATCCAACTGAGAAAAACTCATACTAGCTTCTAACTGTTGGCTATCTGACTCTGTGCCTTATAATGTTTAGTTGTATGGGAAGGTGAAGAAAGAGGGCCACTCCTACATCTTGCAGAAGCAAATTCCACAGTATGAATAATATGCACTACATTGAAGTGCTTCCTTTCATGTGACCTGACTCTTCCACTCTGCAGATTCAGGCAGATGATCCCAGATTCTGGTATTATAAGGGGGAAGGAAGGGGCAAATTTTACCTATCCACCTTTTCCACAGTATATACAATTTTAGTTTGTATTCCTTGGTTACTGCTCCCTTTTGATCTCCTGCAGAGTTAAATAGCTACACATATAATTTTCCCCATGGGAGAGTTCCAGCGAGTTCTTTGATAATTTTGGTTTCTATGGCATTGCTATCTGTACAATATTGTTGTGCCACACCAAATCTGAGAGAGTGGGCAAAGAGTATGCATCCCATCTTAAATCCTGTGGCTGCCTCCTGCAGAATTCTAGGGTTTGTAGTTCCGGGGAGGGGCCTTTAAAATGCTCAGCCAGAGAGGACCCGGACCTCCTAAACTACAAGCTCCAGAATTCCGCAGGAAGGAAACAGCCACAGGATTTCAGAAGATGGGATGCATACTATATAAGATGTTCCTTGGGTGGTCCTAACAAAGATTCATATAAGGTGAGCATATGGAACCTCTGATCTGTAGACCACCATTTTAGATGTGACCCACAAAAGTCTCCAATGGCCCAAAGCTTTGTTCACAGTTACATTCAGTTAATGACTGGGCTCTGGAGGACTGAGCTCTAGTGTATAGCCCAGGAAGATTGCATGGATTTGAACACTCATTTGTAGACAGGGTTTTCATTGGATTTCACTTCTGAGTAGGAACATATTGAATTGAACTGTTCATGTATGGTTGGTTAGTGAGACAAAGTTCAAATAGGGAAGACTTCTGTCTGAGCATAGTTACTTTGTTGTGTTCCTGCCCTGTGGCCCATAGCTCTGCTGGAATGTGTCCAATAAGATCCTTCCCAAATTGGAATCTGGACCGTAGGCTGGAAGAGGTTTTCTGCCTCAATTAGAAAAGCAGTAAGATATGCAGGCAGTATTATCTATTCATTTTCTAATTAGGCTCAACATGAAAGCTACCATGTTAACCTATTTAAGAAAGGAGTACTTGGCCATTAGCAAAAAAATGCAGTTACAAATGGATTGAAATAGTGCCATGGTTTATTCCAGAGATCACTATGTTGTCATTTCTGGGGAATGCCTAGAAGCCTGCTTAGCTGTTTCTTTTGTAGGGTCACAATTGTCAGTCTTCCTGGAGAAAGAACCAGGACATTTTATTCAAGAGGTTAGTATTGTGGACATACTTTTTGCAAAAAATAAAAATAAAAATCAGTCTCACCTTCAGGGTTTTGTTGTGTCTTTGGAGCTCCCTGCAGAGACTTTCTAATTTGCTTCGGGCAAGGATGGCTCTGCTGTGTTCACTCTGCAACTGATCCTTCTCTTTTACCAGCTGTGTCTGTCTTTTCTGTAGATATTTTAGCTTTTTCTGCTCAGTGCGATGCTCCTCCAACTAAAGGATATGGAGAAGAATATAAAGAGGCAAAGCAGCAAGAATCTTTACTTATATCACTTTTGCTGGACTTTTTTTTGAAACAGCTAAAATGGTTTCACACTTGTACAATTGCTGGTATTATTGACAAAAGTGTACCATGTAGAAATTTTGATCTTTTTTTTCAAATGTGCCATTTGCATTTAACATGGACTATCTATTACACTGAAAGGGATTTTAACTACTTAAGTATTATTTCTCTCTCTTATTTATATTGTTTTAATTTACTGTTTTAATTTAAATGATGACAATTTATTGGTATCTCAATTGTTTTTGGCACAGATGCAGGATTTATAATAAATGAATGATATATTGCATTTCCAGTTCTTTTGAAATGATTTGTGTGATTTCAGGTTCTTGGCTATTTGGGACTTAATGTTGGGTGGTACTCTTCTGAGGAGGAGGAGGTAGAACAGGAGGCTGAAGATATAGGAGTTGGGGATTTGAGGCCAAGTTTTGAGGAAGAAGAGAGTGAGGAAAACAGATTGACATTTCAGGAATGCCAAAGGGCAAAAGAAGAAAGGAGAAGTTCACTAGAATGGATACAAGGACACTGAGCAATCAGACCTCACCCTGTGCTGGGAGCTGAGGGTTATAAATCAGCAGTAAAGCAAGTGGTCAATGCTGGCAGCAACTATTCTACTTAGTGCTTCTGTACTCCGATTTTCTTGCTTGCACAGTGCCTCGCAAAGACTTTTTGCCAAAGACTTATCTCATGTCTGATGTAAGACTTTTGCTTTGCTTTTGGGATTTTCCTTCTGTTCCTTTGCTGTTTGTTGCATTATTATCATTTTGCTGATAATTTTAGTTGCTTTAATCTTTGTTGCAAGGCTGTTTCTGGGGCAAAACAGGGCACTTAATTAGGGGCTTTCAGAAGCAACTCCCCAAATAGACCATGAATTTTCCTTCCATCTAACCAAGTGATATTGCCATAGCACATAATTCAACTGTCCTGGTTTGGTGGAGCTGATTATTCTCCTATCACACTACTTTTCAACTGTTTTAAAATTTCATCTCCTCCCATTCCCCTATGTGTCTTCAGCTTACTTCAATTGCTTCAAACTGAATTCAAAGTACAAAGATAGTTTGTATTCAACTCAGGAGAGAGAGAGAGGACAGGAGGGGGTGAGCCTTCTCAGTAGACTCAGGCAAAAGCAAACTGCTGCAATCTCTCTTACATAGTGTCTTCTTCTCCATTGATAACTTTTGCTATCTTGACCAAATTGTTGTTGCTTGGCCTCACACATCCTGTTTTTTATCTATGAAACTTTTGAAGATATGCCAGCAAGCAGTTTTCAAAAGTCATCAGTAAATAAAGCCACTGAAGTTTAAATCTTTTTGTAGAGTTGGACATGTTCAAGTAGTCTAACTGCTTCAAGCCTTTTACTGAGTATGGCTGACCATAAGTATTGCTGTAAGGTGACATTAATATTTATTAATATGTATCCATTAAAAGGATGATTCTTTAAAAAGTGCCCATGACAGGGACTGACAATTGCCCAGAGTGATGTAGGTGGGAGAATCTATTGTATCTTAGATGTTTGTTCTTGTATTTTTAATAATACCTTATGTTATATAAATGAGCAGCAGGGTTCAACATAGTCAGCTCCCATGGCTGCACAAGACTGAACATAGTTTTTAAAGTTGGCACTTTGCCCACGTAACTTCCTTGCCAGGAACTTTACTAGTTCCCTTGATGTTCACCTTCTCAGCCCAGGCACTTGTGCCATTAAAAACATGTCATTCTCGCTAAATACTATAGGAAACTGAGTAATGAAAGCCCCCTGGAAAAGTAAGGTTTTACTTGGAATAGCTCTTCAAGCTGTTAGCACCAAAGAAAATATGAAGTTGATCTAAGTGTGCCTGCTGCAACTTGATGCCCTAACCACTTTCTTTGGAATACATATTCATGGGTAGTTTTCAGAATAGGTAGCTGGAGGTTTGCAGTTGGCCTCCTTAATAATAGAAAGATACCATGTAATTTTCATATATGCTAAAAAGATAACAACAATCTTCCGTGTGGCCTGGGAAACTTTACAGTCTCTGTTTATCAAACATGTGATACCTATCAAGGTGAATAGATATCACATACAATTTTCCACATTTCCACCAAAATGTTTAATTCTTCCTGGTGTCTCTTATCACTCAACTCATAACCCAACTTAGCCCTGGAAGAAATATATGAGGCACAAAGATGCAAGTATTAGACTGCGTCTACATCACACAGCTATAGAGGCTTGATAGTCTTTAACTGCAATGGCTCCATCCTATGGGATCCTGGGATTAGTACTTTGGGGAGATGCATAAGAGTTCTCTGCTAGGAAGCTGTATTCCATGATAGAGATGTAACACAAATTTACAGTGATCTATACTGCATGATTACAGTTCATTTTTCTTTAAAAAACTTGGGATTTATAATTTGGTACGGTATGCAGAGTATTCTGGACACTGTTTTGATCAACTATCTTGAACTACACCAAAGGAGCTGTATAACAGATAGATCTAAGTCTACATATGTAAGGTTCCATAGGCAAGAGCCATGGCAATTAAGAGTGTAGTGTATATACTGTTCTGAATTCTGTGTGCCTGGTAGCTGTGGGGAGCAAATGAGAAAGCTATGGGAAAAGGGTGGAGGGGGAAAAGAAGTTAGCAGCATATTTGAGACTGATATTTTCACATGAACTTTCATGGATATCAGTCCACTTCTTCAGATATACTAATGTAATGTTAAAGCCACAGGTATGAAATGACCTCCCCACTTTCTAAATTGAAATAGATTAATCTGGCTATCTTTTTGAAGGAGGTGGGGAAAATTATACAATAGTTGAAGATTTTATCCCGTTTTAGCCCCAGTTTCTGCTAACCTAGCAGTTTGAAAACTTGCAAGTTGATCAATAGGTACTGCTTCTGTGAGAAGGTAACAGTGCTCCATGCAGTTATGTTGGCCACATGACCTTGGAGGTGTCTACAGACAATGCCAGCTCTTCAGCTTAGAAATGGAAATGAGCATTACCGCCAAGAGTCGGACACAACTAGACTTAATGTCAAGGGAAACCTTTACCTTTACTATCATCCACTAGGATGCCCTGTGGAACAGGGATGGCATTTTTGATAGCAGGATATTATCTCCCATATCATAACTGCAATACTAACCAATTCTGCATACTTCTTAAATAAAACATCCAGCTTTTCTTCAGGTGTATTCAGCTTGTTCAAATGTTGCATCAACAGGGTAGCTTCTTTTCCTAAAGGGAATAATGCAGACTATATAAAAATCCATCTCCATAGAAAGTGCATTTCAGACCAGATGGCTATCTGCACAAGAGTGTACAAATATTGGTGATCTGAAAGTTTAACCTTACTTGTTTTTTGCTTCTGCATTGTGCAAGCATGCCATATGTCATATTTTGTTCATATCTATTCCAAGTGCTTGTGAAGAAAGATTCAGAGGTAAGTTCTATCATATAGTGCTGTAGTTGTTCTAGTTTCATGTCTTTTGTGAAAATGCTAAAAGCAGTTCTTAATATCATCTTCACCCCTGAAGGAATATACCCTCTAGATCCACTGTTTGTAGCCTCAAATGCTGCAAACTGTGTATTTCATGCCCTATTATATAACTGGAGTCTAATACTCAGAGTTGTGCCCTCTGGGGACCACTGCTTTTAGCACCACCTGATACTTATTAGTATTCCCACTTTGAAAAATAACTAATTGGGAAGCCTATTTTCCACAAACTCATCCTTTCTTCTCCTATGAAGAAAACAAAACTTGTGCTATCAGTGTCAAGTGGTGAAACTCTCCAGAGACTGCTGTGGCGCCTTTCCTGATATAGCCAATGAGTCACATTACATCCTGCATTCCACTTACGCACGTAGCTACTTGCCTAGTCCCCTCAGGATTTTCTTTTCCAGTTTTTGTTCTCTATGAACAGTGGTGGACTCCTTTGATCCGGAGGCATCCCCAGAAGCAATGTGTTCTTTCTCGGCCTCGTCATGGACATCTTCATATTCGCCATCCTCGTTATTAAATGATTCTCCTTTCTCAGGTTTGTCTGTTCCTTTAGCGTTTCTGTCCTCCACCAGACTGGCAGCTGACCCGTAGGTTTTAATAATGTCCTCCAGCTGTCGGCTCAGTTCTTCAGATATATCACACAGCTTTATTTCAGGCAGGGAATGAGCTGCATTCTCAGGGGACAGAGGCCTGGGAGGCGATCTTTCATTTTGTTTCTCTAATCCATTCTGAGTAGGGAGCAAGTCAGAGCTGTTTATGGGCAACGGTGGCTGGTCTTCAGGTTGATGACTGGCATCTTCACTGATAACCTTGATGATCTGGTCATCCTCCATTCTTGAGATATTACCTGGCAGCAAAGAGTGTTACATTTTGAACATAACCACATATGATCAAGAAGAGATTAAATGAAAACTGACAAAATTTTAGCAGCATTTTTATTGCTTTTCACTTAAAAGAACATATCCCAAAGCGCTTTATAGCCAAAATGAATACAGTGAATTTGATTGCTAAAAGGAGCAGAACAATATAGCAGTAAATCAATAAAATGATTCAGTAAAATTAATTCACTAAAAACCAGACATTCACCATGAGGCCTATAACAAGAAACAATTTCGCATAAACTAATTATTATCTTGTTTTCAAGCAGGGTGAGCAACAGGGCTTTTTAAAATAGAGATATTATAGCATTGATTATCACATGTTTTTACATTTATTTCTGCATTACTTGTTACTGATGCTGATGCTGTGGGGAGGAAATGCCTTAGCATACTGGTTCTCAACCTGGGGTCCCCAGGTGTTTTTGGCCTACAAATCTCAGAAATCCCAGTCAGTTTACCAGATGTTAGGGTTTCTGGGTGTTGAAGGCCAAAAAAACCCTAGGGACCCCAGGTTGAGAACCACTGCCTTAGCGGATATTGGCTGATTGGTTCTCTTATGGTCCTTCACCTATAAGCTCTTTTGTGAGAGCTTTAGATCACATGATACCCATCCCAGGCCTATACCAATCATCAGGATTTCAGCAATGCAATGCAGAGGGAGGAGTGTCTTCTCTTCATTTCTCTCTGCTGCCAGAATGGAGTTTCACGGAACCCATCATATGACGCAAGACAACTTCTGGCAGGACTCCATGGGGCCCCCTTCTGACAGTAGTGAGAAGCAGACCCCAGAGTGCCCCTGAAGGAGTTGGATGTTTACCCAACTCCTGATAGAATAGACTAGCTTTATTTGTCATTGTGCTTTTGTACAATGAAATTACATGCCTTCCCCCCCACACATCACAAAACAACACTCATCCCTCCATCCCCCCCCCTCCACCACACAGTCCCCAATGCCACATCAGTGCGAAACCATGGAGTTCAACATAGCCACAGCTCTAGGATAAAAGCTATCCTTCACTCTGTTTGTCCTTGTCTTTGTCACCCTGTACCATCTGCTAGATAATAATAATTAAAAAAATAATATGTCAAATGGGATGGATACCCAAGAAAGTTCTGAACTTTCTTAATGCAGTGGGAATTATAACGTTCTTCCAAAGAAAGGAGAGGGCAACCAATGATTCGCTGTGCAGATGTGGTGACCCGTTGGAGCACCTTCCAATCTGCCACTGTGCAGTTACCAAACCACGCACATATGCAGCAGGTTAGGATACCCTCTACAGCACAGCAGTAGAAAGTAATTGAAGAATGTGAGAGGGCAGCAGGGAAAGATGAATCTAAAGGGGGAAACTATGTGGGAAGGCAGAGGACGGACCCTGATGGGAGGGGACAGAGTGTGATGGTTCCCTCTCCTGTCCCACACTTTCCCCCGCTGTCCTCTGCTCTACCCTTACCCTTGCCCACCTGATGAAGTCCTAAGGCTGGTATCAGGAATGCCAAAAGGGACACAAGTGATGATGGGCAAATGGTCAGAATAGGTCCCTTCCTTGGGCCTTAAACAAGCTGGCTTTGGCCCTATGGAGGGCTTATCTTGGCCTGGCAGCATTGCCAAGCTTCGGTACAAAGTTCTCTCAGTGAAAGATCTGGACACTCATGCCACTAAGTGACACCTTATTCTTATGCAGTCTGTGGATTTATTTAAATATTTATATATTTCAATTTATTTAATTGTTTATTTTTTTTAAAACCCTCTAGACAGTATATAATAAACATAATAAACCCACAAATGAGGGGGAAAGGACATGTGAACACATAAAGCTGTCCTATAGCATGCCAGATCATGGGTCTGTAAAACCCAGTATTAACCTCTTTAGCGGCTTGGCAGAATTTTACGTAAACTTGCTGTTTAAAGGTCTTTACCTGGAAATGCCAGAGAGTAAATGGAGCATTCGCTCAAGCACTTTATAATGGGCTAGTGTTTCTTGTGTATTTTAGCTGAGCCTGGGAAAGATCATTTTTTTGAAAGACAATTACCAGAGTCTTTCAGCTATCCTGATTGGTGGCAAAATAGTAGGGGCATTCTGGGAGTTGTACTTCAAACAAGTAACTTTTCAAAGCTCTGCCTTTAACTTATTCAACCTCCCACTTACTACTCTTTTCTTGCTGTATACTCTTTCTATAATATTTGTGCATATGGGATCTGTGCCAACACTTGGCTTGTCCCTGCCACTTACTTGCCAGCTTACAAGTTGAAAGGTTACAGTACCATTCTTCCAACCAAGGCTGAAATATTGATGGTATCATTGTAATTAATGCTCCTGGGTCCTCAGTGGCAGGAGGTCCCTATATCTTTATTTAAGGTGATGCTGTCAAGATAGATTTGCTCCTAGGATGGAAAAAGCTGCAGATCCCTCCCATATAGCTGGTAGTGTTTGCTGTGCCTTTTCCCAACTGGAGAGCAAATCAAAAGATGAGATGTTGTTATGGCTGTTTCTGAGACAGGAGTCTTAGTAATGCAAGCTGGGACACATATGATGGTGGGTAAATAGTTCAAGTGAGTCCCTTTTTTGTGTCTGAAAGAAGCGGACTTTGGTCCTAGGAAGGACTTTTCTTGGCCTCGTAGCATTGCCAAGCTTCCCAATGAAAGTCCAAACATGCAAAGGCACACAAAAGGGACCCTTGCTTAGAACTGCCTCAAAATCCATAGGAATGATATGCCATTACTATTGAAATGTTTTATGACCCTTAAAAAAACTTTTATGTGTGTGGCAGTTAAGTATCAGAGTGAAGCAAGTAGTGCTGAACCCTCCCTCTTTTTAAACAGTACTTTTGTTTAAAGAGAAAGCAATGTTGTGCTTGATGGGAGGCATTTCTGGTCCCACAAGTAAGTACTGGTTTGCACAGCTTCTTTCATAATTCATGCACATTCCCCATAATATAGCTATTAATCCAAACAAATTGAGTTGTTGCAAACAAAAGTACCAAAGTACTAGGGAAACATTCTGTATTTTTTCCTCTCAAACCAGAGGCAGCTTGTGGCTTCCATATCAGCAGGATGTTACAGTAAATGCCTTCAAAGTCTTACTCTTGCCTATAAAGGAGCTCTCCGAGGTTCTGAACTCTATTCCTCAATAGAAGGAAGCACTTGGGATTTTTTAAAGAGCTAGCCAAAACCTGAAATGAATTCACCATTCCACTGACATGAAAACCAGCAGCCATCATTGGCACAAGCCCCCTGGCTCTCAACAGCATGACTGGGTTGCAATGACTTGTACACCTAAATTCATCTACTATGCACCTTATACGAAACATAGCCTAAGATCTCAGGTATGTCTAATGGATTTTTTTCTTAACAATATGCATTACATGAGTATTTGGGACTAATTATACACAACCAGACAAGCATATTCAACACCTGGGACAGGCATAGTGCAGGCTCTGTGCCTCGTGGCTCTGATATATCACTGACATTATTTTGTTGGTATATACTCTTGAATGAATTCTGCTGTACTTCATCAGCCTCAGGGATGTTAATCTCAATTTTGTGTTGTAATCAACAAAGCTATTTTCTAGCCACTCTAGGCACTAAGATAACAATCATATAGTCCCTTCCTTGTACAAAAGCCCAACAAATTAATATAGCTTTAAATAATTTGATAGATGTAATCCTAAATGTTCAGAGAACAATGTTCCATTTAGTAAGTTCCCAAGGTTAAAATTCAATTATTCTACCTCTCAAGAATTCAGATTTGACATCAAACATTACCCATCAAGACTGTACATTTAAATCATGGATAAGGCTAACACTTCAGACCACTTTGCTTTATTATCTCCTCGAGAAAAAACATTAGCTACTTATTATTAGATATAACTCCTTGTGTTTTCCAATGTAGCTCTGTCACCCCCAATTTACAAATCTGTGTTCAGTCTGTTTGACATCTGATGAAAGATGAGTTGGGTTTTTTTCTCCACAACTTCTGGCATTTAAAACAATCACATACTGAGATGCAGCCTGCTGAATAGAGATTTCACAACATTTGTGCTAAATGTCATGCTAAAGATGTCCTGGTCCATGACCTTCTCACTGATAATAGTGTTCTTAGTGACTGGAGGCTTCCATGTCAGTTGGGTTTTAGTCTGAATTTTAGGCAAGTGGATTCACCAACTCACTCATATGGAAATCATCAGCTGCTGCTCATTGATGTCATCAATGCTGTTTTGTGTCCTTGGAAAAAATCTACAGAGAGGATACCTAAGCCAGTAGTGATCCATAGACTGAAATTTGTCTGCAAGCTATTGGCTTTTGAGTTCCAGCAAGATTTCAGGAAAGAAAGAAAGAAATAATTAATGGGCATAAATGTGGTTTTAGCTTTGAATGTGTTTTCAGTTTTTATGAATTTAAAATGATTTTTAAATACCATTGATATTTAATTATATTTTAATGTTTAATATATTTGTAGATTTTAAATGGTATTGGAATGCTTTTAATCTAAGTCATTTTGAGTCTCCAGAGTATAAATAATCAAAATCATAAACATAATAATAGTTCCAGTTGTTCATATCAGATAGCTTAAGAAATACTAATCTAGAGTGAAAATAGAACATCAATAGGCAAGCTGTATCATCAGCACATTGGTTCTCCCTTAGTTAAATATTTGTGCTGCAACACAAAGCAAATACTGTTAACTGTCATCAGACCCTGTCTAGCTCTTGAAGACTCAAGGCAATGGCTTCCTTGAAACAAAATGAGATTCCCTCCCTTCCAATAGAAAATGTATAGAGTGGACAAATACTAAACTGGAGAAAGATGTGGGTTTTTTTCTTTGAAGAATCTAGCCTGTAGGGTGTTTGAATGAGGAAGCAACATTTGTAAAATTGTTTACACACAATATTTCTTTCTGCAATCACTTGTGACCCTGAAGCTTGGCCCACTTTCTGATTTCAACAGTTATAACATGTATTAGCTGTAACT